CTCTAGGAAGTCCCCAGAGCCTCAGTGACAACTGGTCCATGCTACACGGTGAAACCTTTCCCTCGTAATTTTAAAGATGGGAAATGAAAATTTTCCCTTCTCTGCTGCCTCTACACTTCAGATCAAATAATTTATCAAGAAGAGAGTGAGCTGCACAATAAACCAGCTGCAGATGAGTCAGTTGGGTCTCCACCCTGCAACCCTTCTCTAAGGATAATTAACCAAATTATTTAATTGTATGATAGCATCAACCAGAAAACCATGCAGGGGTAAGAGCTGAAGCCAAAAGCCAACACTAGCAGCATCGCAGAAAGTGTCAGGGGCTAATGGAAGTGATGGTTTCTACCACCAAAGAGGAGAAGAAATGGGGTCTTGCTGCAAGTAAGCAAAGAAGCAAAATCCCCCGTAAAACACAGACTTCACCCTTCAGGTGGGCAAATACACACTAGCTGCTCCATGGACGTAGCGCCTGGGGGTACTGCACCCAGTACAATCTTTTGCAAAATGTTCTTTTTCATTAGAAAGAGCTTGACAAAAATCTCTGGTCTTTGCACATTTTTCTGACACCGTAAAAGCGCTCCTGGCAGAATTCACCGGGAGGCACGGCGCGCTGCGTGTGACAGCAAGGGCAGTACAACCCGCCCCAGGCTCATCACTTCATTTAATTTCACTGTCTGCAACAAAACGATTCTGAAATGTCTCACTAAGCCTAATGCTGGCAAAAGAAAATTACCTGGTGATCTCAGGCCCACGGAGTAGAAAGGAAAATACGTCAACATTTAAATATCATCCCATTAGGCTTGGCAGAAATCTGGGATGCCCATTGCCTGAAGAACTGTCAATACTGTTAGCCACAGTGGAGAAACCACCATTAATTCACTATTGGCCCCCAAAAGGGAGCAGTATGTACCCTGAACTAGAAAAAAACAGAAAAACTGAACTAAAGTAACTAGGAAAAAAAAAAGTGCTATGAACAATTAGCTGAAGCTTAACTCTTTATGCTCAGTAAAATCCAGCAGGAGTGTATATTTTTATTTTCTGTGATGTATGGGTTTGACAACAAACATCTAGCATTTTTAAAAAGGAATGAATACTGTCCACTGACAAACTGGGAAGATTTAACCAGAACACACCAACACACCTTCCCATCTTTTAAAAATTGACAACCTGGGAGAATACCTGGCGTATTTTGGAATAAGAAAATATTCAAATGCACCAAAGGTCCCCATAGCTTAATTACCTTTGCTGCTTTCCATGCAAACAGAGTAAGCGAACATTTAGAGAGCGAACAATTAGTGCCTCTGGGTTAGGAGGGGAAGATGAAAAGCAAGAAAGTAATTAGAACACTCACATTTAATGAAGCACCGTTTCTCCCAAAAGGTCACCTGGTGTATCGTGCATATTCTGGTCCTTTCCACTTACCTTTTTCTCAGTTTCTCCTCCTTCCCTCTTCTCTTCAGGCTCAACTCCAGATGTTTTAAGGCTCCTCTGCTCTACCCATGTCAGTAGAAAAGAAATGCCATGCAGTCACCTGTGCTGATTGAGGAAATTCCCACCCTATAAGGCACAAACCCAACTTTGTACCATCACCCCCAGTGGACACGGGGTATGAAGAACCAGTAACTGGGAGTCTGTCCAGAGTGATTTTGTAGCCATTTGTATTAAAATAGCTGTAGTTATTTTACTGCAAGTTATGGAAAGCCAAATTTTCTCCTACCTGTGTCCACAGGACACAAGCTCAGCTCAGTCCTTTTTGAGTGAGAGATGCTGTGTTCCCTATACACGCTCTGGACAGGACACACGACACCAGGCTCTCTGTTAAAGTTG